ACGGCAAGTCAACTCATTTAAACGAGATTATTGAATAACTTGAAAGCGACAAAAGCAATTTTTCCCTCATTAACATGACCTTTGTTGTCACTTTCAACCATGGCAAGCATGACTGAGGACAACCTCATTCAATGGTTTAGCTAAAGTGTTACAACTGAGTTCGGAAGCCCATTTTCAAGACAATTGTGTTCAGTCATGCATGACGGGAGGGATGCCACTAAGGTATCATTAAAAAGAATACTGCTTTTACTTTTCGGAGATCCTTACACATTATAATAATATCTCGTGGTTTTGCCATCTTAATCCATTTCCTCAGGTTTTAATTAATTTTTTTTTTCTGGGCCACCCTGTATACTTTTACAAACGAATCTAGGCATTGTGAGACAAGCTAATTTACTAGAGTGTTCTTTTAAAATAATTTTATATTTTATGAGTTACCATTTTAAAACGGATGTAAGTTATAGGTACAGGTCAAGCATAATTTGGACATTTTGTACTGTTTTAAGTTTAAAGTCTAATGCTGTCACCTTGCTGTCAACTTGAAATATCTTAACTTCTAGCAAGGGTTTTATTCCTTTAAACTAGTTTCCAGTGGACAACCGTGAAGGAAAGGGTCCAAGTTTCCCTGGAGATACGTTTGCAAAATTTGAAATGAAGATACCAGAATTTTATAAATGGTACCACTACCTAATCTCGGTAGGCGTGAAGATTCCTTTCCAGATACAAAAAAGTGGGAGTTCATTTTCAGAAACAAATTTCCACGTTCCCCCACAGCTTCGATCTGAAAATGTCAAACTTTTAACCACATTAAGTGGAACTACTATGATTTTGCTGTTTGCTAAAAATCAATATTACTTATAAATGATTATACTAGCTGGTGAAGCATTATTTATTAAGTAGATGTGTTGTAAGTATATCAGTAATGGATTAGTATATAGCATAGAAAACTTTCCCTTCTTTTCCAAAATACGGTTACAATTTGAAAATTCTGTTGTTGACATAAATTTGGGTTACCTGAAACATCTTACTGAATATTCCAATTGTTGGTTTCTAAGTAAGTTCCTTGGTGATAGTAGATACAAATACCAACATAACGTGTAAAATATCGTTTATGCACACAAAGTAAAAATGTGCTTTTTTAAAAAATAAATTCACCTTTTCTAGAGTCTGAACAACAACATAGTTCAGAGAATCCATATTATTTGTGTAGCAAGGTCAATTTAGGGTTGAAAAGTTGAAAAGGCAGTTACCATGTGTGCTGAAAAGGGTACGTAGACACATGACTGTGCACTGGCTGCTTTCGAGAGTCAAGACGAAAATGCCTCATACATAATCGAAATTTTGTGATACTTGGTGGAATGACAAGCTGAAGGATTATGAATGGGAGGTTGTTCAATTTACCTCCGTCATATGCACAGTAATTGGTATAGTTTGCAGTTTGCTTGCTTTAAATATGTAGGAAAAAGGGCTTTAAATAGGGGTTGTAGGTATTTTATCTTTTGACTTGAGAGAAATAAGATTTCTGTCCTCAATCAAGTGGACCGATTTTAGACACAAGCAAAGGCAAATTTTGTGTTTCTGTTGATGACGTAGCATGGAGAAACGCACAACAGGCACGCTGGAAGCATTCATTAAGATACATGTAACTGAAACCGTTGCCGCCAAAAAGCGTAAAGACGAGAATTACTTTTTTATGACGCGTAGAAAAAAGTCATTGTAATACAATGATCTGTAAAGTGCATCGACCTAAAATCTACTCTTTATCTGACAAAATTATTGTGAGATTTGTTCAGAAGTGAAGGAAAATGAGACGCTGAAGGTGTAGTGCACTAGTAAAACGTAACTTGCTTGGCATACGAGGGAAAATGCACTTGCGTTCACTTAACTTGGCAGCAGACTATTCCTATGTCATGGAGAATGATACAGTCTGTATAGGGGTAATTGGACCTGAATCTTAGGCTGAATCACGGGCTAACATGTATGTGTATACACATGAAGCTTGAAAAAAAAAAAGAGGAATGTGGTTGTGAACAACCACTGAGCTGCTTCGGATTCAGGACTTTTTCTAAACATCATTCGTATATTTTGTGAGTTATTTAATTCAGAGGAAAAAGTCTTGTAGAAAGGGTGATTCCTACAGTCCCAGTCATCGGGTCAGCCCTTGTTTTTTTCTCGGACTACAGAAGCTGGAACGAGCACAAATTGCACTGCAGACAGTATTTCCTTGTGCCCTGGTAGCAGCTGCAAGTGTGTGTACATGTGTAGTATGCACCAAATTGAGGGTAAAGGTCACCGTGTACACAAATTATATCAGACGGTTTTACAAGAAAATAACACTATTACTTCATACTTGGCTCTTCAATACAAACTGTGCTAATCTGTAGATACATATAAAACTGGAGAATTAAAATTTACTGTTTTTGTTTCAGACTTTGGAAGTAATTGGACTTGATTAAGTTCCCGAAATTATGACAGGAGGATAGTAGTAGTGTGAATGCGAATTCGTATACATGTAAATCTTAGAAACTAATAAAAAATCAACTAATAGGTCATGATGACGTCCCTTCAGAAATGCAGTCAGGGATTGACTGTTAACGTTATTGAGAGAATTTCATAAGGATCAAACGTTGCCTAATATGTACAATTAAAAATAGTACCTTTGATGATGACACCACAAGATTTTCCAACAAATAGATATCTAAAAGACATACTGGAGGTCTCGCAAAAAGAATTGTGAATCCTATTAACACCAACTTGTGTACTTTGGAGAGGTTTTTACGCCAGAAATCCGGTCTTGTGACGCGGGTCACGTTTGTAAAAATTACCCTAACCCTTATGGATCCACCAGGCGCATTGACTTGTTTCAATGGGTATTGTGCAATCACGTATTTTTAGGCCTTTTAATTTACCCCAATGTTTTCTCTAAAAACCGCCACAGACCGTCTGTAACAGTGCTTATTGTTAGAACTGCAAAAAAAGAAAGGCATTTTGAGAGGTTTATGTTGCTGTCTCTTGAGAAGTTTCCTCTACTTCACCATCGAGAACCAAGGAACGAAAACAATAGCTACTTTGGCAGTGTGCCGAGGCAGCTAAAAATGCAATCCCCTTGCGTGCGTGTTTTCCCAAGGAGGACGGTCAGAGGAGTTAAAACTCTGGCACCTCAAAGTGCCCAATGACCATCCTCGCCCTTTCAGATAAATAATAGTAAACATTCCAAAATTCCCTGGTTACATCCTGCAGCTAATATTCGGAGTAGTGAGGCCAGTAATATTGTAGAAGTATTTGAGGTGTTTTCTTTGCAATTAACTGCAACTTACCGCAGTAACTAGGAAATAGAGGTAGAGGAATATCTATCAGTAGATGTACCGTTACCGTAGTGAGCATTTGTTAATTAAAACAGATGTTGATGCACTTTTTCCCTTTCCCACGCAATGTTTGCAAATTTATATAAATGTTTTTATGAATTTGTCTAAGACTGACCAACAATATGTTTCCCACCACAGGACATTTAAGTTCTAGATAACAAACTACTCTGTTTTATCACAAGAAGTGATCGTGAGATCTCATAAAATACCGTTTAGTGTAAATTCTGTGATTAAATTATTCACTTAAAACACAAAATCGTATAAAAAAATTAGCTATTTATTTCAAAAATAAGTCCAGAGGAAAGCTTTCGATAAGGCCAATAACCTCACATTAACACTTCTGGCACAGAGCCAAATGAAAGCAACTGTGCAAGCATTATTTTTTTATTTATTAATTGTTGCCAGATCATACCAAGTACCAACGATGACATGAATGTTCTATAAAACAAAGCGTTCTAGGAGTGCAGATTACCAGCGAAAATTACTGCACTAATCACTGTGCACAAATGTTGCGTATGGTTGTGAAACAGAAGGTGCTTGGCAAGGATTCTTTGCACTCTGGCTACGGACATACCGGGCTTGCTAGAAAGCGCTAATTGGCCAGATGTTATAGCCTGAGCAGTTCAAACTCCTTCTGTGTCCTTGCTCCATGGCAAATTTCCAATGTGCCAAAGAAAAATGAGATAGGCCTGAGCACGTACTGGATTTTCCACGTGAAAGTAATTGGATTCAATTCTTATGAATATGCACGACAGCATAGAACCTGTCAGTGTTGCAGGGCTGCTTGGGCAGTTCTAAAACCAAACTTAACGGTGATCCAGGGGCACAGCACCATACACTGGCAGCTGCAACACAAGTAGTTGGCGACACTTTTCAAAATTCAAAGTGCTTTTGCAGACGATGGAGCAAGAGACCAAGTCTCAGTGTACGAGACGCTTCTCCTAACTGCATGAGACCGATGTACTTTTTGTGGCCAAAAACACAACACATCATGAAGTTAAACTTGATATGCGGAACAATAAACAAAGTGGGGAGTTAAGAGCGGCGCAAAAACTCGGCATTTTGAGCATGCCTCTACCAGAGGACTTGTATGAGACGATTCACAGTGTTTGCAGCCGAATCTCCATGTGACGGTTTGGGGTCAAAGTGTATCATTAATACATAATTTGTGTTTCCAAAATTGCCAAGAAAGGCCCCACAAAAGCCCATTTCCTTGTTCATTTTGTTTGATTAAAAATGGGGAAAGTGTTTATTTTTTCCCGTTTTAATTTTGTAAGGTAGTCTTGTCACCTATTGTTGGTTATAATTGGGGCAAAATGGTTTTCCTTCCCTACCTTTATAAGTAGTAGCTGTTGCATTTAGCACTTCCTAAACATGTTTTGATTCCTTGTATACCTGACAGTAGAAGCTGATTGTTGCTTGGGGTTAGGGTTCGTCAGAGTCCTGGGTATGGTTGTAGGGTGATTTGCACAAGAACAGAACGCGATTCGCCTCAGCTAACTGATTGATGATGTGGAAAATGATTTAAATAAAAGCACTGAAGCCCCATTTTTAATATTATTTGAGAAAAATCTTCACAAACACATCCAGTACCTAAAATAGCAAAGGTATGAGTATTTTATGTTACGTACTAAACATCTGCACCAGAGAGATACGCAATTGTGTACATGTAGACCATGATTTCTCTTGTTTATTCAGGGTAAATCAGAAGTCCACTGAATGAGGTGGAGCGATAGGATGAACTACTGGTTACCCTACCATACATGGTCAAATACACCGAATCTCCTCGCTGCAGAAGTAGCACCGCACTCCCAGACACCTGCTCATTCTTACTTGATTCGGTGCTACCGCCAGAGACTACCCAGTCGTCGTTTTTTCTAAGATTGACCCAAAGGTTGCCGCTACTTGAATGTTTGCATACAGAAAACGCAAACACGTAGGTACCTGGTACATTACATGTAAATGTTCCAGTCGCCAGATCGAAGCTGGTACCCGGCAAAAGCGTCTTGGACTGCTCGAAGGGCAAACGGGTGCTGTAACTTGTCGATGTATCCGAAGTGGTTCTCCGAGTCACAGTGAATGCTATCTTGTGTGCGGAGTTATCAGGAGTTTCCCCCGGCTCGCCCTTTTGCCCCTTGACCCCCGATTCTCCGATTGCTCCGATTAAACCAGCTGGACCCCTTGGACCTACCTTACCTGGCAGGCCATATCCGTCGTCCCCTTTGGGACCAGGGTTCCCAACAGCGCCACTAGGTCCAATCTCACCCTTCTGACCCTTGACCCCAGCATCGCCCTTTGGCCCTGCAGGTCCAAACTGACCTTGGTTACCCGGTAAGCCCGGAATTCCAGGTGTCCCAGCAGGTCCCTGGCAGCACATTGGACACACCTGAGACCCAGGATCATCACCGTCCGCAGGAGTCGGCCCAGCATCGGTAGTTTGGAGCTTCATACTGTTACGCAGGAGAAAGGCGACTGAAAGGGTTGTTGTAAAGCTGAATATCATCTGTAAACATATAGTGGAATCGGAAAATAATTCTTAAAAAAAATGAAAAAGAGCAAACGTGAAAAAAGAGTCATGACTCGGTGTAGCTGACAAAAATATCAGCCAGTGCTTACATAACAAGCTCAAGTGGAACCTTAGATAGAAAGGAAGAGATGAACTTAAAAAGAGAGCAAGCAGTTGGAAGTTGACAATATTTACCACCCATATTTGGTCCCAATGTAACTGGCCGTAACAGCCACTACAAAATTAGCCATGAAAAATGAAGAAATGAGAAATCCCAACATCCTTCAAGCGTGTAGTGGCGATGTGGTAAATCCACACCCAGCGGAGTATTTAGCAGGGGAGCAGTTTTCACCCCTTCCCAACGATTGTTCTGTTTTGTTTTCTGCAATTGATACTTCATAAGTGAGTAGGCAAGAATCAAATAAGTAAAATTCTTATTTGAATATTAGCAACAAACCACAAAGGAAACGGATTGTGAAGATTCTGTTAGGATAACGATTTTTCAATGCTGCCAAACTTGCTTGATCGACTGGGATCTTGCTCTTGCGTAATTTGAACGTGTTTAGATCAGTATAGGAAAGGGTCAGGTCAAGGCCCTCATATATTTAGTCAGGCACTCTTTTTTGATGCCGTCATTTCTGTATTATAGATTAACATCTGGGAATCACACAAACGCGATGGTCTTATATCCTGTATACATCTACAAAAAAAAAAACAATAGATGTTTAGGTGGCTAATCTACTGCAGGCTTGGTATTGGCGGTACGTACATGCACATGTCGTCGCAGAGCTTACATACCGCCGAATCGACCATTTTGGCGATTTTTAGATGTTGTCAGTTTGGGGGACCTGAAAGGTTACTCTTTCAATTTTTGTTGCCAAAATCCCGTTTTTTCGCCGAGTTTTTGAAAAATGGGAGCACCCACCCTGACAAATCTGGCAGGGAAGCATAAAAGGAATTTTGCACAGTGACGTATACACTATTCGCCACTTTGACAAATTTCACGTAAACTCTATTCACAGCTGACAAACTGACTGTTTTTGCTGGTGACTATAATATTAGCAGTCCATTCAAAGTACCAGCTATCATTTGTCATCTGCACGCAATAGCTCTTCGATTCGCAAGATGCTTCGCAAAAAGTGAGTCTTTTGTTTCTTATTGTGTTTTGCGTTTTCCAATAAAATTACTACGACACTCAGCCCATATGTTTTGTGTTTTACCTCAATGGCCTGCTGCATAATGGCAGTCTTTTGAACTGCAGTGTCTGTTTAACTTGGTCAGGTCTAAGCCTATGCTGCCAGACAGCACTACTGACTTAGGTCTACTGTGATTATTAAGCCTAATATTAAATGTTGTTGGTTAGGTCTTGTTACAAGAATTACTTAATTAAAAGTAAAAGGAACTTGCTCACACCGATAAGCCGTCATGTCAATCGAGGCTCCGCCTTCATTTTACAGACAGGTCTGTGTAATGTCACCCAAACGTAGGCATACCACGGATTAAGCCTAGCATAAACACGCGGTCTGCTCATTTAGGAATACACAATAACTGCATACTCCTGTTTCTGTAATAATTACCCTGCATAAGAAATGTTTCTGGTATACAGTTAAAAAAATGCCCTTAACTTTATATTTAGAAAACATCCTGGGAGACACTGTTTGCTCAAAAGAGCATTCATGTCATGACAAATTTGTAAAAGTATTGATAACCACAAATTGCATTTGTATCTGTAGATGACACTTTGGAGTGCTTAGTTAATTTTCAGTTTTGCAAATAAGAATCACTTTCATTAGGTTCATGATGAAGGTGTAATTCTAGGGAAGCATTTTTGTTTTCCTTTTCCTGTCTTAGGGGGTTTTAGGACTTGGAAGACATATAATACTGGAATTTATAATGCACAGATTTGAGTTTTTTTTTTTTTTACTTCTCGAGTCCTTTAGAATTCGTCACCCTAAAACAGGCACTGACGTATTGGTTCAATGGGAGGACAACTCCATGAATGTTGTTGTCATCGATGATCTGAAGTGTTTATTGGAAGATGTGTTGGCTCGCGGTAGCAAGGTCTGCATGTGGTGGAAAACAAATAAAAAATGGTGGCAAGGAACTGTTGTTAATTTCGAAGGTGCAAAAGATGAGGTTGGTGATGAAGAACACAGCTAAAAGAAAAAAAAAACAGTTCCAAGAAGAAAAGTACTTGTGAAACATTTGGTTGCCATGATGAAATCTGGGCTGCGTGCATTAACTGCCTCTGTCTTCTGTGCTACAAACACTTTGAAGAAACTTCCCCCTGTTTCCTCCACAACAAAATCGTTTCGATTCCAGCTCTCGGCAGTGAGAATCATCAGTCTGAATGTTCTACTGAAATTTGTACCTCTGTAGATGCTTAACAGCCTAGTTAAGTCACCTTTAACACGTGCCCGCCTCCAGCCAAGTCCCATGGGGATTGTATGTAAATACCTAAGCCACGTGCTGATAAGGGATTATTGACAAAAAAAGTGCCTGGGCAAGCCTGGGAAAGCCTGGGCCTGTCTTATATCAATGGTCGGTCTCTCTTATGTGTCTCTGAGCTGTAGACAGCTGTATGAGTAGTTTCATTGTGTTGGGGGTGTCCAATTTTTGTGGTTATAACAAAAGTGACCTCAAAACGATCACCTTGGTGCAATGGGCGTAAAAAGTAGACTCTGTGCAGTGAATTGAATTGATACACGTACGACGGCCTCTGAGCAGTAACAGGAAAAATCGCCCCTGTGCAGCGGAGGGACACGTATTGTTTCTGGACCTCAACTTGCTCATCGGTTATTGGACGGCACATGGCGCTAATGCACACTGTGCAGACGTGGCCAGTACAATAATAAGTGGCTCGCAAAGCAGTGTGAGGCGTGTTGGTAGAACCTCTTATCTAGTTGGCAATGGTGTTCTGTCGCTACCAAATGTGGGTTGCGTCGTTCCTTCGCTGACGCAACGACGCAACGCCACGACGCAACGCCCCAACGGGACGCTTCGACAGCTCTGTCGCGTCGTGGTGTCGCCTTCTTTCTCATTACTTTTATGCTGCCTTATAAAGCATTACGTCGTGCCGTCGTGACGTTGTGTCGTGCTGTCGCGTCTCTGCGTCGTGTCCTGCTGTCTTGTCGTCGCGTCGTATCATTGCGTCCTACCTTGACGTCGTGGCGTCGCACAGTGGGCCAGCTCAAGGTCAAACTGCGCGAAAATTGTTTTATTTGTGCTAATATGAAGGTATTGGGGGTTCTATGCCTCATAGTAACTCATTTCTGCCTGTTTATGCAGATAACACTTGTATTCTTAAGTGCGTCAAAACAAAATATAGTTTAAGTAACATCGTCTAGAAAGCATAATTATGCATGTTCAGTTTATGTCGTCAGTGAGAACCGAGCATGTCTTGCATTGTTATTTACGGTACAAGTGATTTATAGGGTGAGAAAAACTCACCTGCACAGAATGCCGCTATAGTTTGTAACAACTTACCTTATGACGAATCACCCTCTGAAGAATCACTTGGCTTGTGGGTTGGAGTAGGTGAAGATTTTCCTTCGATAAGAATGACAAGTTTGGGCTCCTTTGTCACCTCTCGGACTTCTGGGGGAACGGGTGTCCTCTTTTTCCTGTTGTACACAGACTTGCTGCTGATTACAATGTCACTGGTTACCATAGGTCTGTGAAAAACGTCACTCATCGTGTGCGTCCTTGACTTTTTTTGCGTACCTCAACCGAAAGGGCTTGTTATCTTTGTTCCAAGCTTCTTGGGCTTCTTTGCTCATCATGCCAATTGGTAGAACTGAGGATGAAATTATTTGTGCTCCGTGGATCAGTAAGACATGCACACTGACTGGCATTTTGAACCAAGGATACATTTCAATGCACAGTTTGGCAGTGTCCAAACAGAAGGGTCCAAATTTTTCGGGGTCTATGGGTAGTCCTGAGGATAAACCGATCAGAATTACGTGAAATCTACGAACTAGATTCTCGTCGAGACCACAGATGTTGGAGAATTTTGTTTCAGTGTCGAAAGCTCTGCGTGCAGTATTTCCGTCATATGAAATTCCATACCCGGGCTTCGGTTGGTCAACTTTCAACCCAAGTTCTAACCTAAAAAGTTCCTGAATCTTTTTCTTTCTCTCTGCCATGACTGATCCGTCCTCATCTGACTGTATCGTCCACCTTTTGAAAGGAAGTCTATATGCAATGTGTAGCATCATTTCAAAGCAACGAATCCATTTTGTAGTGGGCAGAGCCCAAATTTGTATCTGTTGAGGCGGGTTGTAGAAGATGTTGGATATTATTGAAGTCCTTAAGTGTGGCCCCGCAAATGTAAGATCGCATGGTTGAAGAAGTTTTAGTAATTGCATTGATGACTTTTTGGTCAACCATGGTGAAGTGAAGATTGTACTTGACGTAGACGGTCTCCTTTCTAGATAATTCGCCTTCTACTTGAATGTCAAGATCAACTGTTATATGTTAACGTCTCTGGATATCCGTCTCCTTGTTCTGGTGTTCTTCCTGGGATAGCTCTTTTTTTTCCTTTTTTTGTATTGTAGATAGATTGGCCGACAAAAGCGCGTGGATGGAGGAACAGGGTTTTCCCTTATCACTTTTCCCTGTATTCTAGTTGCAGTGGTACAAGTGTGGTGCAAAACAAACTCATCATCAGATTCATCAGACTGTTCTGTGGTTGTGAATCTTTGTTCGTACTCGCTTTGACCCGATGAGCCATCAAAACCCCTATTTGCAAACTAAGTCAAGAAAGAGCGGACGTTCATCTTTTGGTACCTTCTCAATTAGTACGTGAACATTGTCCTGTCCTTGTTCCAGTATCCGAAGGGCTGTATGGTCTAGAAGACTTTGTAGAGAAACTCTGGCCAACTCTACGCTCATATCTATATTTTGTGGGTAACACTTCTGCTTTGCTTCTTGAACAGCATTTTAAGGCGGGTAGACATCTGCATTTTTCTCTTTGGCGGCTGTTCTCAAGGTTTGATACGCAGACCTTGTCAAATTGGTTTCAATTAAAAGGGCGAGTGCCTCGTCTGGAGTAAACTCTTCATGTGCAGGTGGGGGTGAGGAAATTATTTTTCTTAGATTAGCAGGTTTTGACGGACTCTGAATAATACATTGAAGAGCATATCTCAAGTCTGGGTTCCTCCCATAAGGTCCTTGAGAAGCTGCAAAAAGAAACTCCCGGTGCTCACTTTCCTGCAGCAGTGTTTGGGCCCTCCATTGTTTTGATCGCTTGGAAAGTAAAGTCCAATCCTTGCTGCTCCTGAACCCGATACTCCCTCGTCAGACTTAAAAATTTCTTTCCCTTTAGAGAGCCAATGATCAAGTTCCAGTGGGAACAACACCTCTGCTTGTAACCATTCTCCATTTTCCCTTTCGAACTGAGATTTGTTGCGGCTACAAGCTATCAATGTTTCCTTCAATCTATACAGAAAACTGTACATGGTTGATTTGATCTTCTCTTGAATTCCCTTTGGAATGTCCAATTGCTTGATACCGTGATATTCAGAGAAAAAAATCATGCATCTCCCAAATGAGACTTCAGTGTTGGATAGATCCCCTGAAGACCTGATATTAAACAGCTTTTTAGGTATGGATGCCATGCTGAACTCATGAAATTGACTTGGTCCCGATATTGCGTTTATAATAGAATATCTTCAAAGGTCGCAAAAGATCGCTACCCGTGTTTTTTAAATTGTTCCTGAAGGTTCAGGCTTTTGGAAAATATAAGAGCTAAAGCGGGAATCGGCAGGAATATATATTTTCTTTACGTGTGAAAAAAAAATGCAAATTTACGAAATTTACTTGAAATTTACTTTAATCCTGAAGTGAACGGGTTTTGAATCTTATTTTCATAAAATATAGTTCGTAAATAGCATCCAAGCCGATTTTAAGGGAGTTATCTTTTGCATAGCGACCATTTCAGTAAGTTATATTAGACGTCAAGTTTTATTACTCACATTAGAAATGTTATAATTTTTAGTAATTAAATCAGAATATCGCCCGTGATAAAGGTTTCCGGGCGTTAATTTGCGCATGTCAAGTACCCCTGGACAATTGGAATTAAAAAAAGAAACCAAAAAACAAAAAAACAAAAACAAAAAACACAGCATTGATTTGTGAACCAATCACATTTCATGTATTTTGGTGCAGTTTGACCTTGAACTGGCCCACTGTGAGCCGATCCAGTATATGACAGCTCTGAGCTTGATATAGTTTCCCAGGACTACAAAACTACTTCCTCTCAAATCAATTTAAAAAAATTATGTCAGAAATTGTTGCACTGTGACAGCCCGTTTCATGTGTCAGAGGTGTACCCCATTTCTCTTATATACCTTGTTTATCAATATCAGAGTCCCATATGATAAAACACAATTGCGGTGTAAGAGACCGTCTGATTTACCGCGACAGAAATCGGGGCTAGATGTGTGTGTGTGTTATTGAGACTGGCCTAGGTTTCTGAACTCGATCAGCGCCGAGTAAAATCCCCTGAAAACCTATATTGACTGCAGGATACAGATGTCAGTGGCTAAATTAACCGATTGATTGGTGGTGCAAAAGTTTGCAGATTGCAATTTGTGGATTATTAATATTGGTCCTAGATTTAAACCAGGTTTATGGCACTTGTGATAGGAAAGAAACTATGCACTGCGCTGAAGATACCTCGTCTATCTTTTAGCTACATTACAGGGCCATCTTTTGATTTCTTGTTGCCAGGAGTACTAATGAAACAAGGGTTGAATAAATCAGTCCAAGCACAATAAAAGTATTCAAAGACTGTGTAATTGGCGTCACTGTTCTGTTCACGTCATTAAACGAATTGGGCTAATAAGGTAAAAGTTATTGTTGCCCAGTGCAACAGTCAAATAACTTCCCAGGCTGGGAAGTCATACTTCCATTCAACCGACTCGGCCCTAACCACTCAGGGACCACTCGTGCAAGGTCCTGCAAAAAGTGCACCCTCGTTCCAATTGCAATCACTTGAGGGGCATAACGCCTTAATACGAATTACAAAGCATGCTATGCCGACGAGACGAATTGAACAGACGTGCATTGATATTACTTGCTGGCATGTTGAAGTTAATTGTGTTCTGCTTTGCCAAAGTAAGTCGCATGTCGCTTCTCAGTTGAAAGCATTCGAAAGAAGACAGCGTAGTCTTTAATTAAATTAAGCAATTGAAATCCAACACATCGTTCATTTTCATCTTACCAAACCAAGTGATCAATCGAAACAGAGAGCTTCAATTCCTCAATATAATACATCTATCTAATACACGACTTGAGACTCAATTTTGCGGGGCGGTGGTCACAGATACTGATTGAATTCTGCCTGGGTGGCCTACCTATTGGAATTGGCAAAAAGAACTATCGTGCAGATATATAGATATTTAATTTAACCCACACCACAAGGTCGAATGACACCGTATCCCGAGGTAATATATAATTTTGAATTCGTTCACTTTTTTTCAGACACTGAATATTTTGTTTAATTTCCATCACGCACGTGTTAGGCACTCATTGTCTTGCAAGTAAAAATTACTTTGCTTTTTTAACTAGGATTGCCCCTTCGTTCAAAATGTCACCAGAGACGTGTGACATCTTAATACGAATTGAAAAGCATGCCAGAGAAGAGCCTGATTGTAAAAGAATCCATGTGAAGGATACCTCAGGGTTATCTAGTGAAGAGGGTAGAGTTAAAAGTAGATTTCAATTTAGGTGATTTTTTGTTGTACATTAAAACAGAAATGCCTTTGGCTCATCAACAACTCCTTTTCCGAATAGAAGGAAATAGGGAAATCTCAAAGAAACTCACCCTGGTGTCGCTTGCTGCTAAGTCAACAATAAAGGGCTTTGGTATAAACTGGAACTGAAGTCAGAAACAAAAAGACTGTTAGAGATAACGTAAAAAATTAAATGTTTTGAGGTAATACGGATTACTGGGCAGATTTGAGAGAATAGCTACCAACCATTGAAATAACAAGTAAAAGGTGGAGACGAAAGATGCAGAATTACCCACCTTTGTCCCTGCACATGTAATATGCACTTTTTAAAATGGACTAATTGATTGGGAAAAATGAAAGCTGAAACTAATTAATAGTAAAGTGACGCCTGTAGGTGTTTGTAACATTTCAACATACTTTTATATTAATCATCAAGGAAAATTACCCATCAAATGTCACGCCGTGAGCTCCGTGTTAACATTGCTCCTTTAATATCTATATTAGCTAGAAGAAATTAAAATAAAATTGCAAAGAAGTCAGGCAATGTTTCGCTTTAGAAATGATCACGTTACTTTCTGTCAGTCTCACACAAAACATTTTCAGGACAATTTTTTTTCAGACAAAGGTTGAGCTAAGCGATAAGGATAACGTTTACTCAAAGAGATCCAATATACTCAGATGAATAGTTTGTGTTACGCGCATTTATGAAACAATGCAACTGACTGGAAGTCCTACGATTGTTCAATGGCTCAAGATTTCCATTGCCCCCCCCCAAAAAAAAAAATGGCTCGCTATCACGTAAAGACCAGTTAGCAATTCAGCCGAACACGAAAGCACAGCAAATTTGACAAAACGGAGCTCTTGTAGTCAAACTTGAAGCACACATTTTTCACCTATGAGGACGATTTGGTTTGAATGTGCGCTGGATTGTTCATGAGCAAAATTTATCGAACGCATTAACCTGAAAAATAATTTGAACATTTTATCTGATTTTTAGCCTTAAAAGTACAATAACAAGACCAATGTCTTCGTTTTTAAATGCGGCATTTAATCCCGCCTTTTTTTTGCTATGATTTAAACTAACGTACGGAAATGTTACAGACACCATACAGCCTATTTTTAAAAAAAGAAACGGATAAAAAAAAAAGTTCGGAAAAAGAAGTTGTCCCACTGAGGTTCAGGTGACTTTTTCCAATTATAAACACGACTACAGACATTTAATTCGGGAATGCCTTAAATTAAAATTCAACGGGAAATCAAAAAGAAAGAGACCATATTTCGCATAACAACAACTGCTGTTTCAACTTGTTTTCGTAAGTTTTCAACTGCAAGCAGTCACAATATGATTCCAATTCTAGATAAATATCGTCCTGCAGGAACAAATGGAATCGAGTAATATGAAAAAAAATAATTTCCAGAATATATGAATTCATGGACCTCGTCCATGAATGCTTTTAGCTCGGATATATTATCAATCACTCACCTTGCAACGTAGAATAGCAGTCTGCTCTCTCAGCTAATCAGGTGTGCCCTTTCAGATCAGTCATCTAAGGCTGAAGCTGACGGTGGTTGTTCTGAGGAGCGATGCAGCCGCCCGGGCCTTTAAACTGGCCAGCCATTTCCTGAGCAGTGACTGCTGAGCTTGGCCTGGTTTGAGATTGGCCCATGCGCGCTGTCACTCACACACATCACCCGCTCACCTAATACTGGTGAGTTATGTACATGTACTGTTGGTACACACTTTGCAGAGTAGACACAATTGAAACTTTGATCACTGACACGGGGAAATGCCCAGGTCTCATTGGTTGGTATCAGGTAGATGCCTACAATGCAAAACAAGTTCTTTGTTAGACAAACACGGGCGGACCTATCAATCACAATCCACTCTCTCGGATCACCGATTCATTTTGATGTTTAGATCTGATTGGTGGATAAAACATAGACGTAGATCACCATGCTTAATTCATAGGGGCCTGAGCAAAACAGCCCTTCAGTGGCTGTCCTTTGTAAAACCTTTGTATTCTTGATTTTTTACAACTCCGTCGACAGAAAGCCTTTTCTGAATTAATTTACAACTGTACATAATTACATAATACCCGCAACAGTTGAAACGCACGTAGCCAGTGGTTAGCTGCTTCCTTTGACGCGCCAGTTATGTTTATTCCTAGCCAAGTAAAGCCGTCACGCCTGCAACATTTCTACAGAGAAATATACGAACAGTGGCGTCATGCAAAAAAATAGCATTGTCTTATACTTTCCACCCTGCACACAGCAATGAACTGACCCGTTGAACTTTACAGGAAACGACTGAGGAAGTTGATATACGTATGGTACAGCTGGTATTTCTGTTCTCAATGTTAACAACACAGTTGATATCAGTAGTGTGTACCAGTGTTGACAATGTTTGAAACCTTTCAAGATCTTCAAAAATCGAGACCTGTCTGAACAACTTGAATAAAAAAACCTGAAAAACAACTTCAAAAATTAGAAAAAGATATGAATGTCATTTAGAGATTTCATTGTCCAATACGTAGATGTTTACTGGTATTTGTTTCAAACTCATTGATTTTAACAGGTGTCTGGGTGCCATACTTCGGGTAACACTCCGTGTGACGAGCCGACTACTTTTTGCTCCCCAATGGTCATTATAATTAATTTCTGTGGCAGGAACCATTTTATCGACTGAGCCTTTCTTTTTTTTTTTTTTTTGCTCATGGTGGCGTATAACTGACTACAAACTCTCTAGGTAACGGATATGCTGCTGGAGCAAGCGCAGATACAAATCACTGTGTAATGTCAATATAGGGAAGCATGACTACTCTGCTAACCAACTGAGGAATGTTAACCCCTCCCCCCAAAAGTTTCTAATTGGTTATTCAATGACCTCCAGAATGCAACAATCCCATTTGTTTTCAGGATTGCATTTCACGTCCTCCCTCTAAGCCTTGGCTTGCTTTAATTTGTGACTGGTTTGACTCTCTCACACCTGCAGCCATCCAAGGGTCGAGCAAATGGTTAATAACTAAGCGAGGCAGATCTAAGATAGGACTTTTCAACATGGTGATTGCATGATAGGATCTATTCAAACATCCAGATAAGGTATTGAAAGAGCTCAGATGTTTTATTTTTGTATCCCGGTCCAACCGAATTTAACATGTAGGAAACTGGGTAAAGCTGGCTAACTTTTTTAAAGGTATTTAAAAAGTATGAAAAAAATGAATATACAGTAATTATTCATGGCTATGAATGGACATTTGGCAATTCTGCGGCTTTTTAATTGTAAACAAACACCAACCTCCACAAATCCTGATTATAAATAGAAATCCAAATTACTAATGTTTTTTTAAAGGGACATGATCTTTGCTGTGCTTTCACAAAGGTTCTTGCAAAATTTGACAGCCACTCAAAGACGGTGTTATAAGGTTTCATTATGCTGCTTTCAGACGCAGCAACCAGAAAAATATGAAATGGTCAGTACTTGTATTTGATTTTTGGAAACCCTTAGGAAATGCCAGGTGAATTTTGCAGTATTCTGTTTGACTACGGAAAGGGAAATATTTGAATCCGTTGCCCCAGCATTTTTGTAACCTGAATACATATATTTAAACTTATGGCCAATGAGGCAAGGATTAAGCCTACAAAAATCCTCTCTGCCAGAAGTGAATCTGTAAACATCCATTTAAGCCCAAAAGGGTCGAGCGGCCATGCAAGGGAGGAACAAGACAAGCCCTAAGCCCTGGCAGCCGAGTCGGCCATACGTCTCGAACCTGTACCATAACGCACTCACCTGGACATCGCGGACAGTCCCAGCGGAATTAAGAGTTTACCCGGTCGGCTAAGGTACTGTTGGTATTTAACAAGGGTGAATAAAAATCTCTTTAATATAGCTAATAAGAGCCAATAATGCACACTTGGGCTTAAAGAAACAAGTTAAAGGCAACGTTTCGTGTTGTTATAATCGTAAGATCCCGTACACGTTTCCACCGCAGTTTGATTCTTAACTGATGTCTATGTGGCCATTGTGAAGAAGAAAGGGGCGCGTGTCTTCTCACGTATAATGCGGGGGTTTTTAAATATAAACAAATGAATTGCATTAAAGTTCTATCACTTAGTCTTCCTGGAACAAGGATTCCTACCCGTATAAAACAACTGGGCAGTCTTTCAAAAAGACACAATCCAAAATCCTGCACTTTAATACAACCAGAAGGCACCTTTAAAACACACATGACATTTTAAGTTACAGTCTCCAAACGACTACATCTCGGTCTTTAAGGTTCTCTTCTATACGTCCATTCTTACAATTTTACTTTAACAATGATGACTATAAAGAAGGAACTATACAACTTCTAATATAGCATTAGTTACAATTTAATTTGTAAGTGGATGTACGTGGAAGATTAATATGCATAAATAACATACATACATTTTAACCATACGTCACAAATTTAAAGTTCCGTTGTTGGCATGAACTTGGAAAACTTAAGAAAAATTCTATCCCTTCGTTGGTACATTCTTACTTCTTTTTATTAAGGTTCACTGGTTATAATAGGAGAGAGTAAAGTGGTAAGGAATATCAAAATCTAGTGTCAGTATTGTTACAGAAGCGACATTTCGTCCTTAATAATTCGCCCATTTTTTTTTAATTTAACTCTTTCTCGAGAAATTTGTGGTATTTTAAGTCTAAACTCTTCTGCAGCAAACCCTATGTATTGTGTTTTGTACCCAGTATTCTTTTGTTAAGATGTTGCCCAGTGGGCTGACCAGTTATGTAATGGCCCTTTTATTATTTTCTGGGTGCACATGTATTTAAGAAGTGGGTTGTAGCATGCTTGGGTGTGGGGGGAGCGGGTTATCGTGGCGCGTCTTTCCTCGCTTTGCACCAATGAGGCCTGGGTTACAGTCCCGGTTAGGCCCAGGTTTTAAGTGCATTTGGTTTCCAGTCCATACTCACTCTCGCAGGTTTTCTCCGGGTACTCCGGTTTCCTCCTTCCTCTAAAACTGGGCCTTCTTCCTTACTCCGTAATGTGATGCTGATTAATAAAGTGTATGAATAAACGTACATTTATTGGCGCAAATAGCCTGAGTTGCTGAAAGCCCCATTAAAACAAAACAACAAGAAGATGTTTGGGTGCACTCATCACACCACAGCCACCCGTTCAGCCAGGGGCTATGTTCTTTTTTCAACTGATGGGTGTCACCAACCTTCATCACTCCAGCCAATGTCCAATTGGCCCTCCAGCTATACACTGCCTGCAGAGACAGGGAGTCACCGCTTTACTCTTTTCCTTCAAGTTGACGGCTTGCCACATGCATTGCATGTAGAGACAGCAAGTCTCCGCTGTTCTATCTCTCTGTTAAGTTGATGACCCAAACCATCCGGTTTCAAGGCTCTTCCTAGATGGCCTGGGACCACACCAGTTCTGAGGCTCACCCCAGATGACCTGGATCAGACCAACCCGGTGCACCGGGCAGTGCTTCAGCCAGCTGTGTCTGAGTTGTCCCTCCGCAACAGAACACCATTAGTCAACTTGACAGTAACTCAATCAAGTCCTCAACAACAACTTATAAGTAATTCGGCAAGAATACAAGAATAAATCAGTGCTCTGAAATGTATGATTGCCAATCATATATTTCAGAGCACTGATATTCTTGTCGATTTTCTGGTCACGGTGCTACGCAGCCCTTCCATATTTCTCTGACCTAAAAGTAATTATTTAATTTTATAAACAAATAGTAACCTAGATTTACATTTCTGTAATAGTTATTATTTTTGGTATATGAACTGAATAAATTTCTGTAATTATAGTTGCTGGTTTCCTTTTCTCTGCTGTCAAGTTCATCTCTGTCGTGTCCTACTTCATTTTGGTTCTTTTGAATTAGTCGCACGTAACAGTATTTCCAATTATTTTGCCCAGAAACGCTTAGTTCGTTTGGAACCTGGGGTCAAGACATGAAGGGAATCCAAATCTTTTGTATAGTAGGGACATTTCTGGAGGTCAATGATAAAAGGGCGGTAAGTATTGGCGGTGGAATATATGCAAGATAGATGCTTGTGTACTACGTGTATTTAACAGCCATGAGCAAAATGCATAATATTGAAGGAAATGTTGTAATTATCGACCCAACATACAGCCCAGGTGAGTTAATTGAAAATGTACCTGTTCTATCGTTAAATTCAAGATCAACTTGGTCTTTATTTTGACCAGTGCCGTCTCACAAAAGGGTCGCAGATCCACTTTAAGCAATCCAGATTCAAAGTACAAAGCGGCGATTACAAAGAGTGGGTAGTCAGCAGGGTTGAATTTTTGGAAGGAAGAGATTTGAGGGAACATATGACCATTAAATTAATGAAAGCAAAGGGGGACTAGAAGAGTTGCCCGAAACTCCATGAACAAAGATGGTCTTAGTGTAAGTGTACACAACGAGACGGGAACGTTTAACATTTATTGACTGCAAGTAGTGGAAAATAAGCTTAATAAGCTTTAAGCACAGAAAAACCATAACATTCCACTACAATAGCTAAGGCTAATAAATATGTAAGAGAGTAAAAACATTTTCCAACTCAAGAGAGATTTCAAGCCAATAGAAATTGCACGAAAAGCTGTGTACCTCATTCTTGGCTGTTGGTCTTTACTTTGTGTAAAGGAGAAAGCCAATGAATAAAACGTAGCGTTTAGCTGAATAACTCCAAGCCCTACCCTGCATGGTCAAATACAATGAGCCTCCTTGCTGAAATACGACCACTTCGCTCCCAGAATCTGCTCTTCTATGCTGGATTATTTGCTACCACCACTGACAACCCAGTCGTTAATTTACCTATATGGCGAGCAAAGTTAACATTTTTATCCCGGAATGGAGATATTTTCTATTATTATGAGATATCTAATAAGTGAAAGTAAGCAAGTTGCTTCAGTTGCATTTAGCTGCTTCCTAATGATGTTTGGATTCCTTGTGTGCCTGAAAGTTAGGATGAGTTCGTGTCCAGGATTGGAGACTAGGCTGAACTTGACAAGAACGGAGGGGAGCGTTTCAATGTACACAAAGGAGTATATTTGAGTTTCCGATCGGTGAGACATAAAAAGGTTCAAGAAGCCCTTTCTTTTTCAAAAAGTCCATTGTTAACTGTACCTTGGGTCTTCGTGTTTTCCTTGCTCCCATGACGGGGATGTATCTTTTAACGAAGAACATAACATATTAATTCAGATGATTTCGTTCAATTTGTTTCAATACACACAACACTGCATTAATTTGAAATCAATTGAAAAAAAGGAAAAATCAGGCCCAAGATACCAAAACGATTGATAATAGCATCTGATGAAGATCAGCTGAGGTTATTACATTTTGTGGGAAAAGCAAAGCATTTCCAAATATCTATGCAGACTACATTTTTCGTACTAACATTTTGTATCTGAAATAGCAAAGCAGCACGAAATGCAATCGTGTTTATTTAATCCATACTTTCTCTTGTTCATTGGGAGTAAATTAGAAAACCGCTAAATGAGGTGTAGTGTCGGTTTGAACCAGTATACGCCCTACCATTGAAGGTCAAATACACCGAGTCTCCTCGCTGCAGAACCAGCACCGCGCTCCCGGACACCTGCTCATTGGGACTGTGATCAGTGCTGGCGCCAGATACAACCTGGTCGTCGTTTTTCCTAAGATGAACGTAGAGATTGCTAGGAGAATATTTGCCCACGGAGAATGTGAACACATAGGTACCCGGCACGCTACATGTGAATGTTCCCGTTGCAAGATCGAAGACTGTACCCGGCAGAAGCGTCTTGAACTGCTCGAAGGGCAAACGGGTTTCATGACTCGTAGAGGTATCCGAGTGGCTTGTCCGTGTCACTGTGAACGCCACCCAGTGGGCGGTGTCATCTGAAGCCTCCCCGGGCTCGCCCTTTGAACCCTTGACCCCCGCTTCCCTGATGGCTCCAACTAAACCAGGTGGACCTCTGGGGCCTGCCTTACCAGGCAGGCCCATTCCGTCGTCCCCTTTCGGGCCAGGGTTCCCAACAGCGCCGAATGGACCAATCTCACCCTTCTCACCCTTGACCCCAGCATCGCCCTTTTCCCCTGCCGGTCCAAATTGACCTTGATTTCCTGGTATGCCCGGAATTCCGGGTGTCCCAGCAGGACCCTGGCAGCACATTGGACACACTTGAGACCCATGACTATCAGATTCGACAGGAGCCGGTCCGGTAGTGGCAGCTCTGAGCTTGATAAAGTTACCCAGGAGGACTGCAATTGAAAGGCTGATTGCAAAACAGTGTTTCATCTGTAAAAAAGAATATAGTGGAATAAAAAAAAATAGACAGAGATTAAAAAATTATCAGGATTTCTAAAAGTGAAACATATCTTAATACGTAAAACCCTTAAAGCTGAGCCATCTCTTATCAACACTTTTTGTGTATCGAAGAACACATCAATGCATCCATACACCAAACCTGAAAAAAAATCAAACGATTAAACAGCAATTATGACATCCTCTTATTGTTTTTAGTATTCCTTTTCCAACCAATTTAAGCAATTGATGTCAGAAATTGTTGCCAAGTTTGATGTGTCAGAGGTGTGCTCCCATTTCTCTTCTGTACCTTGTTTATCAATACCTCAGTCCCATATGTTAGAACGCACTTGCGGTGTAAGTGACTGTCTGATCTACTGCGACTCGGGGTCCAGAATTCGGGGCTAAATGTGTGTGTTATTGAGACTGGCCTAAGTTTCTGAAATCGATCTGCACAGAGTTAAATCCCCTAAATACGTTTGTTCACTGCAGGGTGCAGATGTCACTAGCTAAGTTAACAGACTGGTTGGTGGTGCACATGTATGTATCAGAGGGATGAGCATGTCCCATTTTGAGGGTCATTTCCATGCGTAATGAGGGCAATGGGGATTCGTGTTAGGCGAACAGCTTCTTTAGTTCACGAAAGTTCCGTCTTTTTTTCACTTTTTGGAAAAAAGGTTCCTTCCCCAAATATTTTCATGGTAAAAAGGCCTTATCCAAATGTGTTGAAAATTAAATTGGGAAATAGTACTAAAGTCGTCAAAACTAGTGATTTTTGTGAAAAAGCTCTTTTTGTAAGCGGTAGTTTGTTTACATTTAGATGCAATTTTGAAGGCTCGAAACAACAACTTGGAAGTTTTCCTGAAGTTTTATAAAGTGGTGGAGAAAGGTGTGAAGGTTTAGATTTGTCGGTGGGTTTGCGCTCATTTTTTTTTCTCTGCACGACCGGACGCGTTTGCATATCGACCTAACTCAGCACCGAATCCATTTCTCGCATAAGCTTGCTTACGGCATTGCCAGCGCAAGAATTCAGATTAGTGACTCGGGAACTACAGAGGAACTAAAAAGTAGAGTAACTTAACATGAAGTTTGTTACGTAAATTGAGGTTAATTTATATTTATATTTATGTAGCATCCGTCGTTATAAAAATGCAAGGATGATGTTAAAATTCAGGGTATATATTTCCAGTTTAACCTGTACTATAGTACACACAAACCAAATGAATTCTGGCCTGTCGTATGCAGTGTCTAACTGTTCTGGGAAACTTCTAAAATTGAGAAATTTAAGGGGAAAAAAGGCCAAGTGATCGATTGAAAATAAAAATAATTTATAATCTTAGCAACAACTTTGAGGCTACAATTTATATTTATGTAGCATCCGTCGTTATAAAAATGCAAGGATGATGTTAAAATTCAGGGTATATATTTCCAGTTTAACCTGTACTATAGTACACACAAACCAAATGAACACGTACAACAGCTTTAACAAACGAGAATTTCCATGCACCTTTGCATGTATACTACATGTACGCCGCGCCGCAGTGTAATGTGCACGATATGCGGTTGGGTCTGTTTTGTGCATGTACTATTATGTAAAACACCTGCAGATTGCCCTGCGCCAAAGTATCAATTATAAGTCACGAAAGTCGAACAAAGAAATCTACCTACATAGAACTGATTGTATTGTGTAGTTGGGATTCTGGCCTGTCGTATGCAGTGTCTCACTGTTCTGGGAAACTTCTAAAATTGAGAAATTTAAGGGGAAAAAAGGCCAAGTGATCGATTGAAAATAAAAATAATTTATAATCTTAGCAACAACTTTGAGGCTACAATTTATATTTATGTAGCATTTCTTTTCATAGATCTGTAGTTTTTTATTCGGTCTAAGCATTCTAAGCACATACAAAGAGTTATGTGATAATTTGTTTACTTTGTGCAACGAAGTTTTCGAAACAGAGGATTGGCAAGTTAGTACCGTCATTTCCGTATGGTTGACGAGGGTCCAGTTAAGTAACCGCCGCGCATGGTCGAAGTCGTTAATTTCCACATGTTGAGTGGGCGTGAAACATATACGTGTGCAAAGGTTTGTAGATTACAACTTTTAGATTATTAATATATTGGTCCTAGACTTAAACCAGGTTCATAACACCTGTGATAGGAAAGTACAACACCCTATTTTTACTATGCACGGCGCTGAAGGTCCCTTTCTAATTTTGGCTACGTTTTAGGGCCATGTTTTGATCTATTGTTGCCCGGAGTGACTAATTAAACAAGGGTTGAATAAATCAGTCCCCATACTCTACACAACCCAAGCATTCAAAGACTGTTTACTTGGATTCAGTGTTCTGGCAACGTTATTAAACCAATTGGGCCAATAATGCCAAAAATGTTGTTCCCCACTGCATCATGAACAGTCAAATACCTCCACAGGCTGGGAAATCAGGCCTCCATTCAACCGATTCGGTCCTAACCACTCAGGGACCATATCCATCCGTCCGTCCGTCCGTCCGTCCATCCATCCATCCATCCATCCATCCATCTATCCCTCCATCCATCTATCTATCTATCTATCTTGAATTAACCCATACTGCAAGGTCTAATGCCCCCGTATCCCACGGTAATACTTTTGATTGATTTCCATCAAGCATGTGTTAGGCACTCATTGATGTCTTTCAAGTAAAATTTACTTTGCTTTAAGTAGGAGTGCCCTCTCGTTCAAAAAGTTATCACCAGAGCCGTGTGACGTCTTAATACGAATTAGAAAACATGCTGGAGAAGATCCTGATTGTCAAAGATCCCATGTCAAAGGTACCTCAGGGTTATCTGGTGAAGAGGTTAGAGTTAAAAGTAAATTTCAATTTATGCGATTCTTTTGTTGTAGATTAAAACAGAAATGCCTTTGGCTCATCATTCATCATTCAATGAAACTCACCCTGATGTTTCTGTTAATCTACTAAAGTCAACGACGAAAGGGAAGACGGTATAAACTGAAATTGATACAAAAATCACTTTGTTGCAGTCAGAAACAAAAAGATTATTAAATATTACGTAAAAAAATAAAAAAAATGTTTTGAGGTATTACGAATTTTGAATTGACACGTAAAACATGGAAACTAAGATGCAGAATTACCCATATTTGTCGATGTACATGTCCTATCACTTTAAACATATTTGCGGAAATTGACTGGGAAAATTGAAGTACGAAACTTGTTAATAGTAAAATGAAGTGTTTAGGTCTTTGTAACATTTCAACATATTTTTATTATTCATAAGTGAAAGGAAACTTGTTCCAGTACCCATCAAATGTCACGCCGTGAGCTCCGTATTCAAATTATTCTTTCAATATCTACATTAGCTAAGAGAAATTAAAATAAAAATGCAAAGAAGTCAGACATTGTTTCAGTTTTAAAATGATCAAACTACTTCCTGTCTTTTTGACACAAGGCATTTTCACGTTCAGATTTCGATCTATTATCAGTACAACCAATTTCTGACAAATTGTTTAGCTAAGCAATAAGGATATCGTTTACTTAAAGAAATAAAAATACTCTGATGAATAGTTTGTGTTGCACGCGTTTCTGAAACATTACAACTGGCTGGGAGTACTTCGATTGATCAATGGCTCCAGATTTCCGTTGCCCCCCCCCTAAATGACTCGTCATCATGTACAGACAAGTTAGTACATTAGGCGAACGCAAAAGCCAACAGATTTGAGGTCACGGAGCTCTTGTAGTCCAACTTGCAGCACAAATATTTCACCTACGGGGACGATTCCGTTTAAATTTGCGCTTGACTGTTCACGAGCAGAATTTTGCGAATGCATTTACCTGGAAAGCAATTTGAGAAGTTTATCTGATGAATTTGAGCGAGAAAAGCACAATAACAAGACCAATCTCCTCGTTTTTAAATGCGTGGTTTCAGCCCAACTTTGTTTGTGTAATTCAAATTAGCGTAAGGAATTAACAGAGACACTGCATAGCCTATAAAAAAGGAAACGGTGCATAAGAACATAAGGAAGAGATTAGAATTTGGCCCTCGAGGTTCAGGTGACTTTTTCCGATTATAGATTACAATTACGAACATTTAATTTCCGAAGTTGAAAATCAACAGGAAAGTTGACTAGAGCTATGTCTTTTTGCAACGAAGCATAGGGCTTTTCCGCTTTATACTTTTTATTACCTTAAAAAACATAATGCAAACCCTTTTGATGGGCTGTGCATTATTGAAATATGGCAAAATTCGTGGAAATTATATATAAAATGTTATAAGGTCATTGGCTGAGTGATGACGAATCATTCCAGTTGACGTATAATGCAGATTTTTGTTTCCATAAAGCTTGAATCCAATTAAATGAATAAAAGTGTACCATTTGATAAACAGAGTGTAAATTTCAATTTACATAAATTAATTACAAATCAACCCATGACGTCATCATGACGTCATTTTGGAATGTGTCCTGGGACTTCTATCTAGCTACCTGCCAAGTTTCATGCCATTCTAACTTTACCCTATGTGTGTTTTAAGAACGTCACCATTACGTTATGCATTTTTTTCCAAATTTTGTGCACATATCTATTGCCCAACTAACCTAATACAAAGAGAATTTTGAATCTATCATATTGAGTTAGTGAGATGTTGCAAAACACTTCAAAAATTCAAAATTATATATAAAATCGCATAATGACGTCATGATGACGTCATATATTTTTTTATCTATAACACATGCAGGTCAAACAAAATACCAAGTTTCACCCCAATCGACATACCGTTCTGTAGATATAAAGCTTTGAAATGTGCGAATTTGTGATGACGTCACCTGACTCATGATGACGTCATCATTGCATCACTGGTCGGGGCACATCTATGCTATAAGGACTACTACTCTGCCAACTTTGAATAATCTACGACAAAGTTTAATGGCAAAAGTGGCGTGTAGAAAACACATGTACAATGTCAATAGTCTTTGGGGCAAAAAAGAAGAAGACGACGACGAAGAAAGAAAAAAAAATCAGAACAATGGCTTTCTGCAACCTTGCAGAAAAGCCAAAAATGGCCATTTTTTGAGCCTGGAAGAGACAAACATATAACAGCTACTGTTCCAACTTTTTTGTTAGTATTCAGCTGAAAGTAGTCACACTGTGTTTCCAACTCTAAACAAATATCATCCATAGGACTCGCTTTAAAATCGTGTAAGGGGAACAAATGGAATCGACTAATATGTACAAAATTATTCCCAGAATAAATAAATTCATGGCTATCGTCCATGCACGCTCTTAGTTCAAATACGTTATTTAAAACACACCTTGCAATGTAGAGTAGCAGTCTGCCCTCTCTAGCCGATCAAGTCTGCTCTTTCAGATCAGTCATCTAAAGTTGAAGCAGAGTGTGTTTATTCTGAGGAGCGACGCAGCCGCCCGTGCCTTTAAACTTGCCAGCCATTTCCTGAGCAGTGACTACTGGGCTTGGCCTGCTTTGTGATTTGCCCCTGATGAGCGCTGTCACTCACACACATCATTGACTAACCTTGTTCTGATGAGTTGTATTCATGCACTGTTGGTACACACTTTGAGGAGCTGAGGCACAGTTGAAGCTTTGATCACCGACACTGTGAAATGCTCAGCTCTCATTGGTGGATACGAGGTAGATGACTGTAAATGCATTAACAAACGTTCTTTTTATGAACACGGGAAGATGTATCAGTGACAAACCACTCTCTTGGACCACGGGTTTGTTTTGATCTGATTGGTGGATAAAACGTGGACTGACGTAGATCACAAATGCGTGATTCATTGAGCCCGAAGCAAAACAACACTTTTGTGGCTGTCCTCTGTAAAACCTTTTTTATTCCTGATATCTAACAACTCCATTGACAAAAAGCCTTTCCTGATTTGATTTCCTCCAACTGTACATAATACACACATCAATTGAAAGCGTAAGAAGCCAGTGGTTAGCTGCTTCCTTTGACGCGCCAGTTATGTTTATTCCTAGCCAAGTAAAGCCGTCACGGCTGCAACATTTTTACAGAAAAATATACGAACAGTGGGGTCATGCAAGGAAATGCATTGTCTTACACAGCAATGAAATGACCTGTTGAGCTTTACAGGAAACGACTGAGGAAGGTGATGAATGTATTGTACGGCTGATATTTCCGTTCTCAATGATAACACAATTGATATCAGTAGTGCATACCAGTGTTGACAGTGCTTAAAACCTCTTTCAAGATCCTCAAAAATCGAGACTTAAAATAAAAACAGAAATCTGACGAAAATATAAATGTCATTAATTTTTGAAAGTACTTTCTGGGTCTTATCTGGGCATGAAGGAAATGATGCACTGAAACAGACAACACTTGGCTTACTTTGTAAACTAGTTTTTGGACCAACATACTTGAATTTCAAGGCATTTGTTCGCCTTATTTCACGTTTAAAATAGTATTACTGAATAAAGGCCACTTATAGCAGCTTTTCAGTAAGTTTTGAGTTTTTCAGTAAGGTTTTTCAGTTTTTTGTACATTGACACGCCGAATTAGAGTTTTGAAGTACATCACCATGGCAACATTAGAAGTTTTATTTTTTAGGGGGGGTGAAGTTTGCGCGGGGATACTCCCCTCGCCTTTCCCTTCAGCAACCCAGAATCAAATTTTGCCCAAGCCAACGTGAGTGGCACTTAATAGTTTATTGTTATACATTCCTCATCTAATGCAAAGTCAGCGCTTACTACAGGAGGAAAATATTCAGTTTTTAGGGGTTGTAGGCCTTGGTGGGACTCGAACCTGGGCCATTGAGGCAGAAGACGAGGAAAGAGCTGCTATGAAAACCTGATTCCCAGAAAAGTGAATTCGAAGCAAGAAATATGCCCAAAAATGAGAGTAAACGTACCATGATCAAACTCTTTGGAAGAGTTATTGAAACGCAATCTGATCAATTAATTAACAGGAAAATATCCTTTCCACGTATGAATTGGGTGGAAGTAATATAGTAAGAGCTCCATATACTGACATCGCTCATTTCTGCCTGCAATGGAACATGTAAATCAGTCATTTTGAAACAATAGTGTCCCAAATTTAGCTAGGAAAATATTGAAGCATTAACTGCTTGGAATTTCAGGCCCAGCCTGGTTGGGTTTGTACACAGGCTGTCAAGTTATGTCTGTGTATGGAACTTTTTCCCACTTTTATACAAACACACATAGGCTCGCTCCATCATAGGGTTGCAGCCGTGTAAATCTGTGGGTAAGGGGGCGGGAACGCAGTCAAACGTCGCTGATTACCTTGTATACGGTATACATAGAAACTTCAATTGTATTATCAGGAAATAAAACAATGAGGAACAAAGAGATTGGGACCTCAGAATGTCCTCGTTACAAGCAGAACGTTGCATTTACTATGCTCTTTTTACCCATGTTCAAATATACATCCCCCTGCACTTTTTGATCAGAGGAAGGTCTGTTATTGGATCATTTCCTTCTCAGAATTTTTTGGGCAGGGACAAGAATACAGATTCTGAGGTATGTACTTAAACAGCCAAAATATATTCAGTAGCACTAAAAAGCAAATAACACACAGTTTTGATGTAAGATTAAAGGATGCAGGGTGTACATTGAGTGTATCGTGAACAGTGTCCCCTAGTGTTCCACAGTGTCCACGAGTTTCACACCACAGACATATGTGCACAGACACCCAGAACACATTCCAAACTACATTGACATTTTGCAATCAGTATGGCACGTGGCTAAAACCAAAACTATGGGCAAATTAATTACACCAAGGTATAGGGTTCTATTAGCACAGTTGAAGAATTCCAGGCAGAAAATTGTGTGAAGCCAATTTTTGATTGCAAAGAAGTGTGGCCTGCATGTATATAGAGTCAAAACAACGCGGTTGCAACCTTGAAAGAAGAGGTAATGCTAAAGAGCAAAAAGGTGAACGGATTTTGGAAGCCCGTGTAAACAAATAGAGGCACTATAAGGGCACTGCTAGTAATGTGCACTGAACGCGCTTATCCGTCATTCTGCCAATTGTTTGCCCATTCTCTTTGAAATCATTGTTATACATGCAAAACTGACGGTCTGGTGTGTCAAAATACCTGTGGTGCACACAGTGTACATTGCACACTATGAATTTTGCCCCCTGGTGTCCGTGATATCAAATATATTCACTTCTGATCCCCAGCACAGATTTACCTCACTGCAAGGCAGAAGCAAGGAACTGCAGTGTTGTCCTTGCCTGTGTGAACCACTGCTTGATATCCTGATGTTGAAACATTTCCGCGGTGACGGGGGACCAACCACAATGTTATCGCTTTACCATATCAGGGCAGTGAGGCCAGAAGATGAGTCCACTGGCAGGGGACCAACCACGCTGCTCTTGACTTGAATACCTAGTACAAATTCAAAGATTACAAAAGAGAAGGTAGCAGTAATGAGAGTCTGCATTGGCAAATGCTGCTTTTTTGAAAATACTCCAAACGACATGTAGGTTTTATGACATTGCCCAAAAGGCCAGGGTATGGCCGAAGCTAGGAGTAAAACAATAGCTGAAGGTGGGCCACAAGTAAGCAGCTGCTGTCATTTCGTACGGGCTTATCATGTACCACTCTAAGCTTCAGCCACTGGATGTGGACAAGTTCTATCTCAAATCAGTCGAAAAATATATGAACAAAAAATGGTACCAAGTGACTGCTTTGTGTTCTCATGTACATCACAAAAATGGAGACTATGTGATTTCGGATTCATTCAAGTGCATGGGCTTGTGGATATGCAGGCATTGCTGACAAATAAATGTATTGTGCTGGGAACATATGCAGTAAACTGTTTTCTGGACTAAAATAAGTCTTACCCTGACAAAGTCCAGTCTAGGTATGTGACGAAATAGTCATTGTGACTTTGGATTCACAAATTGGGAACCAGACTATTTTAAAATTTCCTACTTTCCCCCCCCCCCAAAAAAAAAACAATTTCCTCCAGAGCCACAAACCAGAAGGAGGATGAAATACTCTGTAGATGTCACTAAATGTTGAAGCCAATTTACACCAATGAAAGAAGAAAATGCTTAGTTTTTGGGGGAAAAAGGTGACAGCTGTGGAAGAAAAACAGCTTAGAGCGTACCAAGCCATCTCAAGATGTGCACGCTATCTACTAGACCACTGAATGAACTGGGAATATTATGTAAAATGAATAACCTTTATAAGCTAACTCATTCAGAGATGCCAACTTATCAAAAGGAAATCCTATCGCACTTCCCGTTCCGGTTTCCTGACCGACCCTAATTTTTCGGGCCGACCCCAAAAACTTTCATCGGCAAATTATAATAGCAAAAAAAAAAATGTTTTAAAATTCCTATTTTTTTTTGTTCTTAAACAAAAAAATTCTATAATTTCTTTTCACGTCAAAACGCTATTTATAACAGTGTTAATTGAAGCAAACAGATGATTCAATGACGCTGGTTTCTGCTGTCACTCATGCAGCCTGTATGCATCAACTGCGGGGTGCCAGTGACACATTTCTGGTGCAACCATTATGAGGCCTGCTCCGTGCTAGCTGACATAAAGTTTATACACAACTGTACAGTTTTGCATCTTTGAGTCTGGATCTCACAGTCGTAATGGACTAAACAAATCATACAAATTACGCCTAAATCGAATCTCCGCTCATTCAAATTGACTGGCAATGGTTACACATCCACTCTCTTTATTAAGAGCATGTCAAAACCTTTAGACACTCGCATATGCCATGTCCAAAGATACCAGCAAAATGTCTTTCTACACAGACCCCAAATATGACTGAAAAGTGACAACTTCTCTACCTGCTATTTTCTCCAACCACTGTTTTTGTTCCTTGTTGCATCTGAGCTGCTCTCACTTGGGTCTTCACTGGATCTCATTTCTCTCTTGAAACTGTTTATTACAATGTAGGAACACAAAAGAAACAAATGTCTTCAGTTTTTTACATGGAACTTCAGCCCGAGTTGTAATGAGTCACTAAACTTTGGAACTCGAGTCCAGTAACGATAACATAATTACTCGGGTCAAGTCCAGTCATCAGAGGTACAAAAGTCAAGTCTCGTCGGATATCTTCATGTAGCTAGTGTCAATTTGAGTCACAACCATTTGAATACAAAACAACAAGTAAAAACAAGACTGGTTACCATTCCCAGACTTGGTCCACAGGTGTACTTCAGAGTGATTCACGTGTCCTACAATTAGAGTAGGTATCAAACATGAACAACATGACATTCTTCGTTAGCAAGTGTGTCAAAAGTTCAGATTTATTCTCATATCCTGCTTGGCTTTGTGTCAAGATTTTGTATTCAAACGAATATTTTGTGATCATTTTTTTTCAATACTGGTGCCAAATGTGAAGTGTTAAAACATCTTGGAGAACACATCAGTTCAATCTGACTTGATTGGTTTCTCTTAGACTCTGAATGCTAAATGTACAGTTCATCATTTGCAGTTATCCAAAAAGTACCCAAGAAATTATTGTTGAAAAGCAAACTTGTTTTAAAGATGGTTATGGGACTAAACACAATGTGGAATTAGCCTTTCTGGTGAGACATCATAGTGAATAAAAACACAGGCCTGCATCTTACACTTTAGAGACTTCATCACTGGTCAGTCCACTTGCACCACGACACAGGATACTCTAGAAGGCCTCCGCTCCTGCAGCAGATCACTTGGTCAAAACCAAATCAACGGAAATGACACAGAGGGATCCCTGAATAGTTTTCTTGAATACAACACGGTGACACTATAGTTACCCTCAAAATAAGCAAAACTTTCAACTGAAAGGCAGATCCAGAACCTATTTTTGGCGGGGATCTAGGAATGGAAGGACCTGTCTGTTGTTTTGTAAGGGACACCGCATTACAATGTGTTTTTTACGATGTGTTGCATTTTTTTCAGTTTGATAATTTTGGGCTCTCCTATCCTTTCAGTTAAGATTTTCAAAGAAATATTGGTACAATTTTGCAATGGCAGGACGACTTGATATCCTCAACATCCGCCAAGATAAACATGTACAATAGGAAAGCATTTTATATGGTGATGCCAATCAGTTTTTCGAACAGTAACCTAATGTTATGAGTACTACCATCTGAAAGCATTCAACAAGTCCTATCAAGTTTAATTTGGCAGTGAAAAATGTGAGGTGTTTACTCAGGAAACACGTGACAACAGTAAGGCTATTTTCAGTAAGCGACCGACATGTACATGCATAACACACAGACTCTGTCATGTCTGTGTGACTAGACTGATACAGCGGGGCAGGCGACAAGCGCTGCACAATGGGCGTGGCAGGTTGAATACCCCCACCTCTGAAAATAATGGAATCATACATGTGGAACTGGTAGTGGCCTATGGTGCAATGGCTGGAAAGAAAATGGACGATTGACAAGTAGCATGCCAGGTTTTTCAAAATACACTCTGACAGATATGACATGTCGTACAGTACATACGTGTACGTATATATACCTGAAGGACGATAATATAGTCTAAAAATCACCGTTAACTTGGTAATTTTTATACGCTATTTGTAAGCATACATATATATGTAATACTCCTATGGTCTAAAAACACCGTTGATTAGCACTATTTTCAGGAGTTATATTAGAAAATAATTATACATGTACCTCATGGTCGCTCTCAAGGGATAATCTGATTGAAAGAGCGGTACCACCAGTCAGACGGTTAACTTAGTTGCTGGCATCCGCACCCCACCACCCGCAGACAACATCGCTTTCAAGGGATTTTACTGGGCGCAGACTGAGTTTGGAAATCTAGGCCAGCCTCCACCACACACGCATGTGGCCCAGAATCGCAGTAAATCGGACAGTCACCTAACTGGGTTTTAACATACGGGACTCTGGTATTGATAAACAAACGCGGTAGATAAAGAAAAATGTAAGTACACTTCTAACACATAAAACGTGGTGCTCGGTGCAACAATTTCTGACACTAATTTTTCAAGTTGATTGGACAAGGATTACTGAAAAACAATAAGAGGACATCAGGATTGTCATTTCATATTTTCCCTTTTTTTCATTTTGGTGTATAGATGCCATGTTGTGTTCTTCGTTACACAAAAAGCATTGATAAACATTTAAAACAACAACGAATATCTTTTTAAACTGATCTGCAGGATGTCTTCCTCGGGGTTAAGGTTTTTATGTGTTTTGAGATACATTTTTAATTTTTTATCTCCGTCTCTAGATTTAGGTTTTTCAATTTCACTGTCTATTTTTTTTAAGATGCAACACTGTTTTGCAATCGGCCTTTCAATTGCAGTCCTTCTGGGTAACTCTATCAAGCTCAGAGTTGCTATTACCAGACCGGTTCCTCCAGACTCTGATAGTCATGGATCTCCTATGTGTACGATGAGCTGCCAGGGTCCAGCTTGGACACCTGAAATTCTTGGCCTTCCGGGTCAGTATGGACCGGCAGGGGCAAAGGGCGATGCTGGGGTCAAAGGTGAGAAGGGTGAGACTGGTCCAATTGGCGCTGTTAGGAACCCTAGCCCCAAAGGGGACGAAGGAATGGGCCATCCGGGTAAAGTAGGTCCCAGAGGTCCACCTAGTTTAGTTGGAGCCATCGGGAAAGCAGGGGTCAAGGGTGCAAAGGGCAAGCCGGGGGAGACTTCAGATGGTTCCGCCCATAAGGTAGCATTCACAGTGACGCGGCCAGGCCACTCAGATCTTTCTACTGGTCACGACACCCGTTTGCCCTTCCATCAGGCCGAGACGCTTTTGCCGGGTACCAGCTTCGAACTTGCAACGGGTATATTCACATGTAATGTACCGGACACCTACGTGTACACGTTCTCGGTATGCAAAGCTTACTCTAGCAGTCTTTTAGTTCATCTTAAGAGAAATGACGACCGGGTTGTCTCTGGCCGTCGCACTGATTCCGCTTCCTATGAGCAGGTGTCCGGGAGCGCGGTGCTTGTTCTGCAGCGAGGAGACTGAGAGAAAGCATGGACTAGATACACGCGATTGTGTGCCGTGCTTTTTTGGGTGCAGATGTTTAACATAGAAACTGCAGTCTCTCTAAGGCATTACTTTTGTTACAAAATGTAATAGTTTATCCGATTTTTTTCAAGTTATCTGCTGCTTCGGCACTTGGGGTCCCCGTTGCAGCCTGTTTGAAATTAGTGCAGCATTGTGTTTAGTGAAAAACGAAATGAAAAACTAAAGTCTAAATAAAAAATAAAAGAAAATTAATCAATCGAAAATTTATCAAGAAGTAAATGATGCTGCCATCATGAAGAACCTCATAATAATAAACAAAAGTAGTTAGGAGCTAATTCATGTCGATCAGAGCTTGTTTAGTGTATATTAACAATCGTGCTTTTAATGACGTCATCATAAGGTTTTTTTTTCTTACGACAAACACTGAGAATTTCACTATTCCGGGCATTGTACATACAATTTGGACCAAAAAGGCGTGTCGGAGATTTGTTGCAAACAATACTAAATGGAGACTGTTACGTTACTTTAAATTCATTGCCGTCATAAAAACAAGAAGAACAGGAAAACCCAAGTTGCGCTGTTTCATTTGAGAAGAAAAGGTTGTGCTACCCTACTGTGACCGGAAAGACAAGAAAAAGTAGATTGAAATCCAAAGTAATTACTAAAGGACAGTTCTTTTAAAAATTCTTTGCAGACAATTTTTATTATTAATAACCTCAGATGTCCACCATATGTAGATCATAAAAAATATATACAATAGACCACTTCCTTACAATTAGCATTAATAAAAAAAAGAACTTTTAGACGTCGATTGACTGTTTGGCCAAATATCAGAGATATATCAAAGGGAAGTTTTCACCCTGGTATAACTATTTGTCGTTTCCACTTCACATCATAGCATTTTGCAAATTGACCTCCATGGATGGTCCGACTCAAATACAAAACTACCAAATATCAATGACGTACCCAGAGCGTATGATAAACGTGCACAGTCATAACATTAAATGTTTACAACCACGGAAAATCTATCCAAGGACTACACATATATAAATGAATTTGCAATTTGCAAATGATATATCTTAGTTTCACCGAACTCTATCTAAGGACTATACATGTAGATGAAATCTGACAATTGTCTCCGCCATTCCAAAAAAAACAATAACTTAAGAATTACCTTACACGGCCAAGAATGTAAGTTAAAATACGTCCCTATTCTTCCCTATTTGATCACCGAAAAAGACCTATTGATTCGTCAAATATCGAGAAATTTACCGATAAGAAATGTGACCCGCAATCTGTTATTCACCCAAAAGACGTGTACTACGGTACTCACGGTTCAATGTCGTGTGGCGCCAATGTTAGGTATAAAGTATCGGCAGCCACGTTGAAAATAAGTAAGGACGGTCTTATTTCAAATAAATCTGTGCTACAAGCGTTTAGTGGATTTGATTATGAAGACAAGTTTGAAGACTGAGAAAAATGAGATTTTTATAAAAACTTTATATAAAATTAGAGATAGAAAAACCAATCAAGATCAATTGTCACTTGTGCTAAAACGTAAAAGCGTCTGTTATAGTAATAGACGGCAGCGATTCTTACAACTGTTTAGATTCTCAGCACATTCATTCGTGTAAAAATTGTTTTAATGTCAAAGTTGTATCAAAAGTTTAGATGGTCAATACTGCCGATATTGCCAAAATGTGATAGTTGTGGAGACTGTTTAGATTGTAGCATATGTATCGAATGCTTCAGGTGCTCTGCTTGCGTTTATTGCATCAATTCTATAGGCCAGCATAATGTAGGTTTTTTAATATTAATTGGTGACTTAAATAAATAACGGTTTTTATAAAAAACTGAAACTAATTACACCAAATGATCCCATCCCCGAAGTAAAAACAGACTTAGACAAAGACTTGGAAAAATTAGGTCTAATGATTGACGAAACCGAGGAAGTAATATTAGCCGAAGAATTACCTGATGAATATGATGATGGTTGTACTGACTGTGAAAATTGTACTGGATGCGAAAGGTGCGTAGGTTGTAATAATTGCATCAACTGCGACAATTTAACAGGCAAGTCATACTCAGCATTTGAATGGGACGAAAGCGGCTATAGCAGCTACTACTATAAGATGAAAGTCGTTGTGTTTGTCGCGCAAGTGCTGCGGATAGTCTAAAATCACTTCAAACATGTAACCACGCGTGCCATTTGGCGGAATGTTATGAATAAACTCAGGATTAAACTTGTCTACGTTTTTGACCCACTTTAACTCACCCACGAGTATCTATTGCTACATGGCCCAGCCGTACAAATAGTTTGCGTCCAGGTAAATTATGTGCGACTCTGGTTGATTTGGGTCGTAGTCAGGTAGGCCCGGGTTGTTTGCCTTTGCGTAGCGCTTAGTACCCACGCTCGAAATACCACCTCTTTTGCCATTTCAAAGAATAAGTGTTGGTCTATGTCTGTCAGTAGTTCTAATTTTACACCCGAGTGCTTTAACAATGCATCCCACGACAGACCCGGTGACGTGTGATAGTTAGCTGGGTCAAGGCTGTAGTTCTGTTTACAGACTTTGCGGAAGCTCTCAAATACACCTGCTAGTAACAGAACGTCCGTTTCCACGCATAGGTCGTGGAGTCGCCTAGGCTTTTATAGTTAAACGCGTGTCATACTGTTTGTGCACAGGCATGTTCTTTCTCGGTAACGGTGGACTGTCTCAAAGTGCTATAAAACGCGTCTCTAGGCGGTAGGCTCCCTTCTTCCAAACGGTCAAATGAGTCAATATATTCGTAAGGGTAAATGCCTTTTTCCACTAATAAATCTGTGTTTTCTGGGAATCTTTCCCGAAGTAAGTTGAAATCATCGGGTGAACAATTCTTAACCAGTCGATCTAGCGAAGCTGCCATGAAATAAATGGAGTCTAGGAACCTGAGTTGGCCAAATGAAAACGAAATGTAATTCTCGGTGTTTTTAGCAATTCATTTGATTTCTTTCATTAAACTCACGAGCGCCCTGCATAATTAGATGCGTGTCGTATTTCTAAGAACTGTGTAAAATAACCGGGATGGGCGTTTGATAGGGTACGACTCTTAACTCGAGGTTACAGTTTGCGTGCACTGGGCCTCTGTACGTCCCCGTTGCGTGACAGTGATCTCTGACCTTTCTAAGTGTGTTAACAGGCTTTGTATACGTCATACAGAGCAATTCTCTGAACCTATCTTTGTTTGCAGAACTTTAAGCAGCTTTTTCATCCTTGTTTTTGGTTCCGTTGGAATTGGCACTGACACTGAGATTGTTTTGTCTTGCTGGTAAGCTTTTCACAGATCCAACAGCGATTACAATTTTCTTAGTTTTTTTGTAACTCACGCGACCAAATTAACGGCTTTTTTTTAATGTTTCGTTGATCTTGGCTGCTTCCTCAGAAAGAGACCTGACAAAATCACCTACCTCGTTTTGACCTATGTACGTCTTTTGGCTCGTGCATTTACCGTTGCACCTCACGACTGCGTAAGAATAACCGCAAGGCTTGTGGATCTGTGTTTTGACCGTGTTTCTACGTGCCGGTGACAAATGTTCTAAAACCGACTCAAGATCTGCGTAAATGACAAAAGGTCCATCTTGTTTGTTTTTATAGTTTTCAAATTGCAAAATGTTTTTACCTTCGGCAGGTAATTCGACTTTACAGGGAGCCGCATCTAACCCTTGACAATCTTCTTTGTGCCCGCTTAACTAATCTTTTGTTTGGAAGTGTGACATGCAGTTAACGCACCAATATTTTTATGCCCGTGTTTATTTATATTACCTGTCAAGCAAGAAAAGCTTTTGATCCAGCAGTAATGACTCTTTTCGCCTTGGGTAAAATAGAGTAAATTGATAGGTTTGCCCATGCGCGTAATTTTGTAAAGTATGTAAACGCCGTTTTTTTCGTAACCAAACACGTTGATTACTAAGTTGTTTTGTGATTCTATGCGCGGAATTTGTGGAAGAGGCATCGGAAAGTTTACGTTTGTAAAATTTAGACCATCTGCTTCTGTGTAAGCGAGGTGCGCTTATCGTGTATAGGCCTATAATATTTTGGATTAACTTTCATTGGACTTTTGACGTAGTCTGAATATAATTTTAAAGCTGCTCTCAGTGCCCATCTGATACACTGCTGGTCGTTGTTTTGGACGTTGATGATTGCTTTTTTATCCACCAATTACGCAGTTAGTGGAATGTAAGTCACACCCACCAGGCTATATTTAACCCCGTTGATGTCAAAAAGTCTACTTTATCAAAAATCCATCCTGATCCGCGTTGCGCATGAGCCTCTACGTCTTCTATCTGTTTTTGCCTCTGTTCTGCGAGTACGTTTTCAATGTTGGCTTTACTTCCAACTACTTTATTTTGACTAGGGAAGATAAATACGCCAAGGCCAGTTTGGTCGGGTTTTTCCAATCTAAACTGCTCTTTTAAAGCCGTTTGTAATTTGCATGAACCAATTTCCTTTAACTCGTCTGACGCTTTCTTCTCGATGAAGATTTTGTAAAAATCAAAAAAGTGCACGAGACCGTATTCAAAAAAGCTGGGTATCAATTCCCAATTGCAGTAGTTACCCTGAAAGCGTCTCACGTTTCTAATATCAACTTCTGCAATTTCCTTTGGTTGAGTGTAAGCTTTAATCGTTTTGATGAGCTCGGGTTTGGTGTGAAATTAACGTTTGGGCGCCAGTAATGGAATGCTGTACTGCTTGACAAAATCTGCTAAAAAAAGCTTTCTTGAATCGATAGAAGACTGATAATAGTGGTCTGTGTTTTGGGTTGCTCATGTCTCTATTTATATATAGGTTTTTAATTTTGTTCTCATTTTTCCCCCGACTTGACTTGACATGTCTTTATATATTGTTATTTTTATATATATTCCGTTTATTTAAGGCGGTTGTAAACATAGCGCAATTTGCTTAGAACAGAGCCGCGCTTTATGTAAGAGTCACGAGTTCAGGCCGGGAGGTTGGGAA